CCAGGCACCCTAAAATGGATTTTTAAATTCAGTTTTTCTACAAAACATTTTAAAATATGGGATCCAAGTAGAGGTAAAAATAATAAGAGGAATTTTTCAGGGGTAAATCTTGGGAACCATTTTTTTAAAACAGATTTCTTACTCCTTCCTTGAAACTATTTTTAAAATGCCGACTCTTGGCATGCCTTGCTGGCTCATTTTGGTGGAGCATGCGACTCTTGACTTTGGGGTTGTGAGTTCGATGTTGGGTGTAGAGATTACTTAAATAAATAAAATCTAAAAACAAAACAAAACAGGGACATCTGGGCGGCTCAGTCGGTTAAGCCTCTGCCTTCGGCTCAGGTCATGATCCCCTGGTCCTGGGATTGAGTCCTGCATCCGGCTCCTTGCTCAGCAGGGAGCCTGCTTCTCCCTCTGCCTGCCACTCCCCGTTTCTGCGCGCCAGCAATCTCTCTGACAAATAAATAAAATCTTTGAAGAAGAAAAAAAAACAACAACTGTAACATATCTCTTTTTTGGTGACAATTTCAAGTTTAGGTGTTAACTGTTGACTTTTTTCCTCCAGAGATTGCTCTTAGCCCCAATAATCACGAAGTCCACATCTATAAGAAGAATGGGAGCCAGTGGGTGAAAGCTCATGAACTCAAGGAGCACAACGGACACATTACAGGTAAAGGAAGATGATACTTGCAAATTGAGCACTCTTCCATTAAATAAAGAGCCTGATAAAGTAAGTCTGCCTTAATATTTAAAGTCATGCAGCATTTACTGAGTTTTCTTTAGAAAACTTGAGAAAATAATCATCATAGTGATCTCAGTTTTGTTTTTGTTTTTGTTTTTTAAAGATTTTATTTATTTGACAGAGCACAAGCAGAGGGAGAGAGAGGGAGAAGCAGGCTCCCCGCCGAGCCGGGAGCCCGATGTGGGACTTGATCCCAGGACCCTGGGATCATGACCTGGGCCGAAGGCAGCCGCTTAACCGACTGAGCCACCCAGGCGTCCCGTGATCTCAGTTTTTAAGTGCTTCTTTTAGCCCAGCTGGTTCACAGCACTCCACTAGTATATGGAAAACACTGATCCTACTCTGAGGAGTGAAGAGCTTAGATGAGGTGACAAGATGAGAATGTGAAAACTAGACATCTAGTGTGTCAGCTGTGGGAAAACATAAGCCAGACTGTGTTCCCAAGTGAGGGGACACAGTGTCTTCCAAACGCTTTCTGTATGTTGTTTGTGGGGCGAGGAAGACATTCCAAAATACTGAAAAGGACAAAGAGTAACGTAACAAACACCCACATTGCCATCACCTAGAATTAACAACCGTGCCAGGGTATTGAGAAAACAGAGCTTTATTTTTTTTATTTTTTATTTTTTTAAGATTTTTAAATTTTTATTTATTTGACAGAGATAGGGACAGCGAGAGAGGGAACACAAGCAGCGGGGGAGGGAGAGAGAGAAGCAGGCTTCCCGATGAGCAGGGAGCCCGATGTGGGGCTCGATCCCAGGATCCTGGGATCATGACCCAAGTTAAAGGCAGACGCTTAACTACTGAGCCACCCAGGCGCCCCAAAAACAGAGCTTTAATAATAAGGAGTATTATTCAAGGTAATAGTACAGTCCCCTCCCACCGCCAGTCCTATTCCCATCCCCCAGAAGCAGTCTGTAATTTGGTATGACATTGTCCCAGTTCATTTTTAATACTTGTACGTGGGGCGCCTGGGTGGCTTAGTCATTAATCGTCTGCCTTCGGCTCGGGTCATGATCCCAGGGTCCTGGGGTCGAGCCCCGCATCGGGCTCCCTGCTCTGCCGGGAGCCTGCTTCTCCCTCTCCCACTCCCCCTGCTTGTGTTCCCTGTCTTCGCTGTGTTGTGTCTCTGTCAAATAAATAAAAATAATAACAATACTACTACTAATACTTGCACGTACACATATATGTATTCGTAAGCAGTTGTCAGTACTCGGGGCTGGTATGTTCAAGCGCTACATAAATGGCGTCATGTTGTGCATCTCCAGCTTGCTTTTGTATTTCACGTTGTTCCTGAGTTCTGTGTTGATCAGGTTTATTCCTTTTAACCACTGTTTAACAATTCATACCTTGTTTATTTACTCTTCTCTCCACTGAAGGATGTTTAGGTTGTTTGCAGTTTTTCCTGATAGTGAAGTGCTAAATCGATCATCCCTGTGCAGGTCTCTTTGTACATGCGTGAATGTTTGTTTATGGCAAACTTGTACTGCTGGGGTGTGCACATGCTCAGCTTTGCTAGGCATGGTCATACTGCCTTCATCCTGGCCCCCTGGTATGGGAATGCTTATCTTCCCCCATCCCACACGTACTTGATACGATCAGAGGGTCTGGTGAGTGAAAGGTTGTGTCTCTAGAAATTGCATTTTCCTGATTAATAAAAAGGTTGAGCATATTTTCTGATGTTTATTAGCCATGCTGGATTTCTTTTTCAGACTTACTGTTCATTACTCCTGATCATTTTTCCATTGAGTTTTTATCCTTTTCTTGTTGATTCATGGAAGACAGGACCTTAAAGCATTGGCTCTGAGGCAGTTTCCTGAGTGTACATTAGCTTTCATCTTTGACAAAAACTCTCGATGAATAGATGGATAAAGGCGGCAAGCAGAGTAGTGCTGAGTTTCATTAAGCAGGTATCAAATAAGGGAGGAGGAGGAGTAAGATAAAAATGGAGAATTTCTCTAATGGTTTTCAGAATTCAGTGAACCAAATCCTGATACCAGATTTCAAGAGAATGAATTGCTTTTTTGTGAGGTGGTATCTGGCTATTTTTAGAAGAACATACTCACTTACTGCTGTGCTCAGAAAGAATTCTTGTTTCTTGATCCTTACTACTATAATTTTTTCTTTATCCATTTTCTGGCAGAGTTGATTAAGCCTGTTTTGAACAGATTGGTCAAGCACATCAGAACTTATTCTCCATAACTTTTTATTTTTTTCTAAGATTTTATTTATTTGACAGAGAGAGACACAGCGAGAGAGGGAACACAAGCAAGGGGAGTGGGAGAGGGAGAAGCAGGCTTCCCTCTGAGCAGGGAGACCGATGTGGGGCTCGATCCCAGGACTCTGGGATCATGACCTGAGCCAAAGGCAGACGCTTAATGACTGAGCCACCCAGGCGCCCCTCTCCATAACTTTTCAATTACAAATTTTTCACTGCAGTCTTGGATTGTCCCTCTCTTCACAATGACATTTGCTCTTAAGTGGGCAGCAAAGTGACTGATAATGAATTTTTTTTTAATTGTGACCCTGAAATTGCCTCTAGTCCTCCAACATACTGATTAGCTTAAAGATGTCCTTCCCCCCAACCAGAGAAAAACAGCATGTTTTGACCTTCTGCCCCCTTTCCATTGTATTCCCCAGCAAAAACTCATGACCATCCCTTCTTGTTTTTGCCAGTGATTTGTATGTGATGCTAGTGAGCATAAGGAGCCAACTGACCATATTACTGAGCTAGCACGAAAGACAGAATTTATAATTTCTATTTTTGTTGCTATTGCTTTCCCATGACCTTATTTCTATTAGGTTTGGCCCATTTTCTTTACATTCCTTTGCCAGTGGCCTTGTGGCCTAAAAATAAGAACATTCATACTTTAAATTGGAATTTTAGCATTAGGAAATACTTCTAAGTGAGAAAGGGCTAAGGTGAAAGACCAAAGAAATAGCCAAAAGAGTGAAATAGTTATGTTCTTCTCATCTGCTTCTCTTTTGGAATCCTTTGAACTTGGGCTTGTTTTCATCCAAAGGTTCAAATGACATTTTTTTTTAGATCTGAAAAAAACTTTTGTTGGAAAAATCTAAATATAACTCTGTGGCAAGAGACCAGGGATCATACATATTTTCTCATAAAGATAGTTAACTACAGAAAAAAAAGAAAGAAATCTTCTGAAGTTTTCTAGAAGAAAAGACCAGTCATTACTACAGAGAAAAAGAGTATGGTTAACATCAAAGAGAAATCAGAGTCCTGGTGTTTGTTTCTGTGAGTTTCTTTTTTTGTGTTAAAAGTGATCACTCTCTTTAAAAGAAAAATTTACTATGGACAGTTTTAAACAGATAACATAAAAAAGGAAGAATAATGTAGTGAGCCCCGTATACCCATCATCACCCAGATTCAGCAGTTACCACCTCACAGCCAACCTTGTTTTCAACGCATTTCCTCCTTGTATAGTTTGGAAGTACATGCCAGACACTGTATCATTTCATATTTCAGTTTGTGTCTCTGAAAGAGAAGGACTCTTCTTTTCAATAATAACTGATACAGTAATTTTAATGGGGACCTGAATAAGGTGCACACATGGGCGCCTGGGTGGCTCAGTTGGTTAAGCGACTGCCTTCGGCTCAGGTCATGATCC